AGAGCGACTTACAAATTGGTGCATTCAGTACCAACTCATTCAAGGGTTTATTTTTTACTATTTTCTACATTGTAGAATAATAGTGAAGACATCAAAACTATGACATAACACATATGGAAACATGTAGTAACCAACAAAGTGTTAAACAACTCAAAATATATTTTCTTCAAAGTAGCCACCCTTTACCTTGATGACAGCTTTGCACACCCTTGGCATTCTCTCAACCAGCTTCATGAGGTAGTCACCTGGAATGCATTTCAATTAACAGGTGTGCCTTGTTAAAAGTTATTTCCTTCTTAATGCGTTTCAGCCAATCAGTTGTGTTGTGACAAGGTAGGGGTGGGTATACAGAAGATAGCCCTATTTGGTAAAATATCAAGTCCATATTACGGCAAGAACAGCTCAAATAAGCAAAGAGAAATGACAGTCAATATTGAACATTTCAAGAACTTTGAACGTTTTTTAAGTAAAGTCGCAAAAAAACAAGCGCTATAATGAAACTGTCTCTCATGAGGACCGCTACAGGAATGGAAGACCCAGATTTACCTCTACTGCAGAGGATAAGTTCATTGGAGTTACCAGCCTCAGAAATTGCAGCCCAAATAAATGCTTCACAGAGTTCGAGTAAAATACACATTTCAACATCAACTGTTCAGAGGAGACTGCGTGAATCACGCCTTCATGGTCGAATTGCTGCAATGAAACCACTACTAAAGGACACCAATAATAAGAAGAGACTTGCTTGGGCCAAGAAACACGAGCAATGGATATTAGACCGGTGGAAATCTGCCCTTTGGTCTGATGAGTCCAAATTTGAAATGTTTGGTTCCAACCGCATTGTCTTTGTGAGAAGCAGAGTAGGTGAACGGATGATCTCTGCATGTGTGTTTCCCACCGTGAAGCATGGAGGAGGAGGTGTGATGGTGTAGGGGTGCTTTGCTGGGGACACTGTCAGTGATTTATTTAGAATTCAAGGCACACTTAACCAGCATGGCTACCACAGCATTCTGCAGCAATACGCCATCCCATCTAGTTTGCGCTTAGTGGGACTATCATTTGTTTTTCAACAGGACAATGACCCAAAACACATCTCCAGGCTGTGTAAGGACTATTTGACCAAGGGGAGTGATGGAGTGCTGCATCAGATGACCTGGCCTCCACAATCACCCGACCTCAACCCAATTGAGATGGTTTGGGATGAGTTGGACCACAGAGTGAAGGAAAAGCAGCCAACAAGTGCTCAGCATACAGTGGGGAAATAAAGTATTTAGTCAGCCACCAATTGTGCAAGTTCTCCCACTTAAAAAGATGAGAGAGGCCTGTAATTTTCATCATAGGTACACGTCAACTATGACAGACAAAATGAGAAAAAAAATTCCAGAAAATCACATTGTAGGATTTTTAATGAATTTATTTGCAAATTATGGTGGAAAATAAGTATTTGGTCAATAACAAAAGTTTCTCAATACTTTGTTATATACCCTTTGTTGGCAATGACACAGGTCAAACGTTTTCTGTAACTCTTCACAAGGTTTTCACACACTGTTGCTGGTATTTTGGCCCATTCTTCCATGCAGATCTCCTCTAGAGCAGTGATGTTTTGGGGCTGTCGCTGGGCAACACGGACTTTCAACTCCCTCCAAAGATTTTCTATGGGGTTGGGATCTGGAGACTGGCTAGGCCACTCCAGGACCTTGAAATGCTTCTTACGAAGCCACTCCTTCGTTGCCCGGGCGGTGTATTTGGGATCATTGTCATGCTGAAAGACCCAGCCACGTTTCATCTTCAATGCCCTTGCTGATGGAAGGAGGTTTTCATTCAAAATCTCACAATACATGGCCCCATTCATTCCTTCCTTTACACGGATCAGTCGTCCTGGTCCCTTTGCAGAAAAACAGCCCCAAAGCATGATGTTTCCACCCCCATCCTTCACAGTAGGTATGGTGTTCTTTGGATGCAACTCATCATTCTTTGTCCTCCAAACACGACGAGTTGAGTTTTTTTACCAAAAAGTTCTATTTTGGTTTCATCTGACCATATGACATTCTCCCAATCCTCTTCTGGATCATCCAAATGCACTCTAGCAAACTTCAGACGGGCCTGGACATGTACTGGCTTAAGCAGGGGGACACGTCTGCCACTGCAGGATTTGAGTCCCTGGCGGCGTAGTGTGTTACTGATGGTAGGCTTTGTTACTTTGGTCCCAGCTCTCTGCAGGTCATTCACTAGGTCCCCCCGTGTGGTTCTGGCATTTTTGCTCACCGTTCTTGTGATCATTTTGACCCCACGGGGTGAGATCTTGCGTGGAGCCCCAGATCGAGAGAGATTATCAGTGGTCTTGTATGTCTTCCATTTCCTAATAATTGCTCCCACAGTTGATTTCTTCAAACCAAGCTGCTTACCTATTGCAGATTCAGTCTTCCCAGCCTGGTGCAGGTGTACAATTTTGTTTCTGGTGTCCTTTGACATTTCTTTGGTCTTGGCCATAGTGGAGTTTGGAGTGTGACTGTTTGAGGTTGTGGACAGGTGTCTTTTATACTGATAACAAGTTCAAACAGGTGCCATTAATACAGGTAACGAGTGGAGGACAGAGGAGCCTCTTAAAGAAGAAGTTACAGGTCTGTGAGAGCCAGAAATCTTGCTTGTTTGTAGGTAACCAAATAGTTATTTTCCACCATAATTTGCAAATATATTCATTAAAAATCCTACAATGTGATTTTCTGGATTTTTTTTCTCAATTTGTCTGTCATAGTTGACGTGTACCTATGATGAAAATTACAGGCCTCTCTCATCTTTTTAAGTGGGAGAACTTGCACAATTGGTGGCTAACTAAATACATTTTTTCCCCACTGTATGTGGGAACTCCTTCAAGACTGTTGGAAAAACATTCCTCATGAAGCTGGTTGAGAGAATGCCAAGAGTGTGCAAAGCTGTCATCAAGGCAAAGGGTGGCTTCTTTGAAGAATCTAAAATATATTTTCATTTGTTTAACACTTTTCTGGTTACTAGATGATTCCATATGTTTTATTTCATAGTTTTGATGTCTTCACTATTATTCTACAATGTAGAAAATAGTACAAATAAAGAAAAACCCTGGAATGAGTAGGTGTGTCCAAACTTTTGACTGGTACTGTATATCAATATAGCAAACCAGGCAACTAAAAGCAACTTTATAAACAATGTTTTGGTTCGTTTCTAGCTTGTTAGCTGGCTAGCTAATGCTAAGTTAGTTGGCTAGCCAGTTAAAATAGCAACCATATCATATAGCTTACAACATCTTAACTTTAGCTAAGTTGTATTCATTATTACAGGAAAACAAACTCACAACAAAATAATTATTTGCAAGTTAATAGCGAGCTAATTACAAAAAATATCTTACGGTTGTGAGTGTGACTAAATGAAAGCAGGCCATTCTACCGGAGAATTTTAGAACTTGGACACAGTCTCGTTGGCCTAACGTTATATCCTAATTTGACTTTGGTGCAGATCATGTTATTCTTCACATTACTGTCTCTGCTAAACACACACTATATCAAAGTTTATTTGTTACATGCACAGGATACAGAAGGTATAAACGGTACAGTGAAATGGTTACTTGCATAATGGAGTCTTGTTTAGACATGTAGCTAGCTACCATAATCCCAACTCATAACGTTACTACTCTGCATGAATCTGCAGGTAGCTAACGCTAACCAGCTAGGTTCAATGTAAGCTAGCAAAAATTAGGCTATAACTAGCAATGCATATGGCTCTGAGATACGAATAATATTACTACACAGATCATACACAAAAATTTAGCTAGCCAGCCAGCCAGCTAGCTAACATTGAACCTAGTTGAACTAGCTAACAGTATGCTTTACTTGTAATGAGAACAACTTTGACAAAATTTGAAACATATAATATCTGAAAATGTAGCTAGACTCCCTTACCCATATACATGTCACGGATGCCATGGTTGCCCTTAGTTTGAAGATGTAATACGGAGACAGGTGTTTTATACAACAGCCATCTGTGTGTTCTCTTTTCCACTCCCTCCGCATATTTGCAATAAAAAGCCTGATTTTTCTCCATCTCCTTAGCTATCATACTCTGCTTCCACTGATTTCAAAACTTGTTCCTCCAGAAAGTGGAGAGCATTAGCAACACTTTTGCAGTTCTTCGTGATATCTTTCAAAAAATACACGTTAGAAAGGATTACCTACACATACTGTACTGAGCAGCTCATGTTATAGACAGAAGTGTGCTACATGGCAGACCAATCCGAACTCATCTCTCGGCATGTCCACCCAATCATGGCTAGCGGGAAGGTTCCTGTCTTTTTCTATGGCTAAACAACTAGGCTCATATTTTATTCATATTTACAGATGGCATACAAGTTTGTTATTAAGGCACATGAAAGTTCACATGTTCCTGAACGCATTTCTGCAAAAAAAAGCATTTTGATCAAAAATTAAAAAGTTTACTTTCAAATGCCTCCTGTGAAGCAGTGACGCGCGACATACGCCTAATTTCCTGAAACGGATCACATTTAGGCAAGTTAGCTGGATAATTCATTGATCCTGCATCATAATATAGGCTACCCCTATCGAGTCCCTTCAGCTTAGCTGAAAATAGTTTATAATGCAAAACATAGCAACTGTCTGGGTCTCCACCAATGTCGGATCAGAGGTTGGAAAACACCTCTTCAGTTCAACAATATCAACTCCACATCTTCTGAAATTTGTTCTGTGATGAGTGGGCCCTGCACTGAGGGCAGATAAGGCCAGTCCTGCTGGTTGAATCTCAATATTTAGGAGCCACTGTTCATTTCTCTCCATACTCTGTGAATCCTTGAAGCCTCCCTCCTCCTCACACTCAGCATACTGCCAGACAGGTGTGCCCGGTGACAGGTGCAGCTCTCCCGTCTCAACATTCCTTAAGTCCTGGTGCCTCTCTGTGCTGTGTCACTGCCCAGATGCGAGAGCCATGAGAGGAGCAGTATGTGTGAGGGGTTTAAGTGGTTATACCACCTGCATGCCCAGCTGCTGAGCAGTGTCCTGTAGCTGCAGCATCACAGTGTCCTCCCCTGCCTGAGACGGGTCACCACCAGTCAGAACAAAGAACACCCCCTCCCCCTGATCCACCGCCCCACCCTCCTCCAACAGCACCCCTCTCAGCTCCGACTGTACGTCCGTGGAGTGTGCTAACGCCCCGGCCTCCTCCTCGTCCTCCCCAGGCCCCAGGCTGTCTGTCTGGGCAGCGTCCTCTCCCTCCTCCCCCTCTCCCTCCTGGCCCTCCGGTCTCTCTCTCATCAGTTGCTCAGTCAGCTCCACGCTCTCATAGCGGATCAGCTGTAGACGCATAAAGCCGTCATCGTGTTCCTTATACCTGGGAGAGAGAGAGGGGAAAAAAAGAAAGAATAGTTAGCCACAAGTCAAAATGATTATCCAAATAGGCTCAGACTTTCTCATTCACCTACTAATGATTCTGGAGTCAAACTACTTACATTGAATGAGGTCTTACCGATGCTGTTAGATACAATCTCAACCACATGCACTTTAGAATTGGTTGTCCTAGTATGCTGGCTATAAATGTTCTGTTTGCCATGTTGAAAGGCTCAGTAGTTGGTACCTGAAACGAGGGTGTCCGGAGGGCCATTTGAACTGGTGCTTCTTGCGGAGGTGGGCAGTGAGGTTGTTTCCCCTAGTGAAGCACTGCTCACAGACATGACACTTGTAGCGAGCCACAAAATCTCCCTGAGTTGTCAACACAAAAGGTAAACATCTTCAAATATAGTTTAGGCATTGAGCACATACATTAGAGTTGTCTTTACATGGCTGACTTGCACAACAGGGCTTCAAATTGTTATTTTCAGCACGGTTCCAGCAACTATGGTGGATGCATAACTAGGCCTGCCCAGTACAGATAAGCTTGGCTCAGCAGAGTGAAAAGTGTAAAAATGTATACATCTCCCTCTCTCACCTCATGTACTTTCTTGTAGTGGTTCTTGATGGAGTGCAGTGAGCGTGTGGTGTAGTCACAGTTGGTGAAGTCACAGCGGTAGGCCGGCTCAGTGCTGTGGGTGTCCAGGTGTTTACGAAGGTCGATAAGGTTCTTACAGCTGATACACACACACGAAAGATGGGTAAGGATGGGTTCTCCCTTTACAAATTAACTAACATTCAGGCAATTGTTAACATTTACATTTTAGTCATTTAGCAGACGCTCTTTTCCAGAGCGACTTACAGTTAGCACATACATTATTTTATCAAACCCATAACCCTGGCGTTGCAAACGCCATGCTCTACCAACTGAGCTACATCCCCTGCCGGCCATTCCCTCCCCTACCCTGGACGACACTGGGCCAATTGTGCGCCGCCCCATGGGTCTCCCGTACACTTGCACACACTAACTATATTTACTTCTTAAATATAATTAATTTCCTTTCATAATAAAGTATGGACGTCATCTCTGTCAAAGACGGATGGTGTTGGCTTATACTATAGACCGGAGTCCCAGGTATTACTTTAGTATCTACCTAATCTATGAACCTACCTGTACTCGCAGTATTCACAGCTGTAAGGCTTCTCGTTGCTATGGCGGAACTTGATGTGGTTCCGCAGCGATGAGGGGGACGGGCAGGTCATGTCACACAATGGACACTTGTAGTGGTTCACTAACAGCAGATGGGGAGAGAGAAGAAGAGAAAGGAACAGATCAGAACACCGTACTACTCGGCAGCAAACGATAGTAGAGATTGATCATCGTGTGATATAAATACAAAGAAGGGAGTTCAAGGGACTGACCATGATTCCTCATGTGGTCCCTCAGTAGTCTCTCCGTTGCAAAGCGTTTGGAGCAGTGGGAGCACTGGAACCTCTGACCTAGGACAGACAAGGGAACACAGACACACAGTCATGAGTCAGTCATTAAGTAAATGTGTTATTGGGTTATACTCCACAATGTTAACAAAGCCCTAAATCCAATCCACCCCTGAACATCCCATCTCACCCTCGATGGTGGTCTGCCGTCTAATGTGGTCAAAGAACTTGGTGTTGTTCGCAAACATCCCTCCACAGATTGGGCAGGCCACCACCTTCTCCCCAGTGTGGCTCCGCAGGTGCTCCCGCAACTTAAAACGCCCTTTAAACTTGGCCTCACAGTCTGGAGAAAAGTCAGGGGAAAATAAGTACAGTTGATATTCTCAGTTGTGGTATTCACTCTGGTTCCAGGTCACATTACAACCGGTAATAGGCCAACCCTGCTCTTACCTATTTTATCCACTGCCACTTCCGAGACAATAAAAACCTACACACCTTCCAACTGAAACATTCAGTCACCTCTTGGTTTCTCCTGAATAGTTGTAAGCTTCCACCTTCTATACTACCATCTTTACAGGGGTCAGTGGACTCACCCTTCCAGCCACAACACACCAATGTCTCCTTATCAGCAGAGGGTAGGTCCATACACATGCTGTGCATCTCCACATGGCGGTAGAACCACTCTGAGTTGGCCAGAGAGGGTTGCTGCAAACACAAATACACACACACACACACAAATAGACGTGTTACTCAAGTAGTAACGGTCTTCGACAATAATACCAACACTACCAGTCAAACGTTTGGACACACCTACTCATTCAAGGGTTTTTCTTTATTTTTACTATTTTCTACATTGTAGAATAATAGTGAAGACATCAAAACTATGGAATAACATATGGAATCATGTAGTAACCAAAAAAGTGTTAAACAAATCGATATATATTTTATATTTGAGATTCTTCAAATAGCCACCCTTTGCCTTGATGACAGCTTTGCACACTCTTGGCATTCTCTCAACCAGCTTCACCTGGAATGCTTTTCCAACAGTCTTGAAGGAGTTCCCATATAAGCTGAGCACTTGTTGGCTGCTTTTCCTTCACACTGCAGCCCGACTCATCCCAAACCATCTCAATTGGGTTGAGGTCGGGGGAATGTGGAGGCCAGGTCATCTGATACGGCACTCCATCACTCTCCTTCTTGGTCAAATAGCCCTTACACACCCCGGAGGTGTGTTGGGTCAGTCACCTGTAGCTCAGTTGGTAGAGCATGGCGCTTGCAACGCCAGGGCTGTGGGTTCGTTTCCCACAGGGGGCCAGTATGAAAATGTATGCACTCACTAACTTTAAGTCGCTCTGGATAAAAGCGTCTGCTAAATGACTAAAAAATGTGTTTAAACAAAAAAATGTAAAAAAACAAGAAAATTGTCCTGTTGAAAAACAATTGATAGTCCCACTAAGCCCAAGCCAGATGGGATGGCGTATCGCTGCAGAATGCTGTGGTAGCCATGCTGGTTAAGTGTGCCTTGAACACAGACTGTCTCATCCCGAGTGGCGCAGTGGTCTAAGGCACTGCATCGCAGTGCTAGCTGTGCCACTAGAGATCCTGGTTCGAATCCAGGCTCTGTCATAGCTGCCCGTGACAAGGGAGACCCATGAGGTGGCGCACAAGTGGCCCAGCGTCGTCCATGGTAGGGGAGGGAATGGCCGGCAGGGATGGAAATAAACAGTTGGTAGAGCATGGCGTTTGCAACGGGGGGCCAGTATGAAAAATAAAATAAATAATGTATGCACTCACTAACTGTAAGTCGCTCTGGATAAGAGCGTCTGCTAAATGACTAAAATGTAAAATGTCACCATAACACCTCCTCCTCCATGCTTTACGGTGGGAACTACACATGCAGAGATCATCCGTTCACCGACACCACGTCTCACAAAGACACAGCAGTTTGAACCAAACATTTCCAATTTGGACTCCAGACCAAAGGACTGTCATTTCTCTATTCTTGAGCTGTTCTTGCCATAATACGGACTTGGTCTTTTACCAAATAGGGCTATCTTCTGTATACCCCCCCGTGTGTGTCCCGTGACGGACTGTGCACGTCCCTGGTCTATGCCTGGCTTAATGCTATGTCTGTCTGTCCACAAGCTTCACATCTAAGCTAGATATGACCCACACTAACAGTGTCTCACCTCACATTGCTCCCACTGGCAGATGAAGTTTTCTGTTATGTCAGGCACGATGTTGCGGTTGTGGAGGCCAATGGTGCAGGTGCCGAGGCTGGGCTGGGCCTTGAGTACCCCCTGGCCCCACTGCTTCAGCTTGGTGTGGTAACAGTGGAAATACACGTGGCGCTTCAACTCAGCACTCTCCACAGAGCAGAACCCACAGTCTTTCCATATACAACTCTGCTCATCTAGTGACAGAAAACAAACGAGAGACATGTACAGTGCAGTCGGAAAGTATTCAGACCCTTTCCCCATTTTGTTACGTTACAGCCTTACTCTAAAATTGGTTCAATTGTTTTTCCCCCTCATCAATCTACACACAATACTCCCAAAACAGGTTTTTGGAAATGTTTGCAAATGTAGATATATAAAAAATTAAAATTAAAACGGAAATATAACATTTACATAAGTGTTCAGACACTTTACTCAGTACTTTGTTGAAGCACCTTTGGCAGCGAATACAGCCTCAAGTCTTCTCGGGTATAACGCTACAAGTTTTGCTCACCTGTATTTGGGGAATTTCTCCCATTCTTCTCTGCAGATCCTCTCAAGCTCTGTCAGGTTGGTTGGAGAGCGTTGCTGCACAGCTATTTTCATATCTCTCCAGAGATGTTCGATTGGGTTCAAGTCTGAGCTCTGGCTGGGCCACTCAAAGACATTCAGAGACTTGTCCCGAAGCCACTCCTGCGTTGTCTTGGCTGTATACTTAGGGTCGTTGTCCTGTTGGAAGGTGAACCTTCACCCCAGTCTGAGGTCCTGAGCGCTCTGGAGCAGGTTTTCATCAAGGATCTCTCTGTACTTTGCACCGTTCATCTTTCCCTCGATCCTGACTAGTCTCCCAGTCCCTGCCGCTGAAAAATCTCCCCACAGCATGATGCTGCCACCACCATGCTTTACCGTAGGGATGGTGCCAGGTTTCCTCCAGACGTGACACTTGGCATTCAGGCCAAAGTGTTCAATCTTGTTTCTCATGGTCTGAGAGTCTTTAGGTGCATTTTAACAAACTCCAAGTGGGCTGTCATGTGCCTTTTACTGAGGAGTGGCCTCCGTCTGCCCACTCTACCATAAAGGCCTGATTGGTGGAGTGCTGCAGAGATGGGAGAAACTTCCAGAAGGACAACCATCTTCACAGAGGAACTCTGGAGCTCTGTCAATGATCATCGGGTTCTTGGTCACCTCCCCGAACAAGGTCCTTCTACCCCGATTGCTCAGTTTGGCCGGGCGGCCAGTTCTAGGAAGAGTCTTGGTGGTTCCAAGCTTCTTCCACTTAAGAATGATGGAGGCCACTGTGTTCTTGGGGACCTTCAATGCTGCAGACATTTTTTGGTACCCTTCCCCAGATCTTTGCCTCGACACGATCCTGTCTCTGAGCTCTACAGACAATTCCTTCAACCTCATGGCTTGGTTTTTGCTCTGAATGCACCCTCAACTGTGGGACCTTATAGACAGGTGTGTGCCTTTCCAAATCATGTCCAATCAATTGAATTTACCACAGGTGGACTCCAATCAAGTTGTAGAAACATCTCAAGGATTATCAATGGAAACAGGATGCACCAGAGCTCAATTTTGAGTCTCATAGCAAAGGGTCTGAATACTTACACTACCGTTCAAAGGCTTGGGGTCACTTGGCCAATAAATTTAAAAAAAGATTAAGATGGGCAGTCTGACATATGGCTTTTTCTTTGTAACTCTGCCTAGAAGGTCAGCATCCCCGAGTCACCTCTTCACTGTTGAGACTGGTGTTTTGCGGGTACTATTTAATGAAGCTGCCAGTTGAGGACCTGTGAGGCGCCTGTTTCTCAAACTAGACACTAATGTATTTGTCCTCTTGCTCAGTTGTGCACCGGGGCCTCCCACTCCTCTTTCTATTCTGGTTAGAGACAGTTTTAGCTGTTCTGTGAAGGGAGTAGTCCACAGTGTTGTACGAGATCTTCAGTTTCTTGGCAATTTCTCGCATGGAATAGCCTTCATTTCTCAGAACAAGAATAGACTGACGAGTTTCAGAAGAAAGTTCTTTTTTTTCTGGCCATTGTGAGCCTGTATTCGAACCCACAATTGCTGATGCTCCAGATACTCAACTAGTCTCAAGAAGACCAGTTGTATTGCTTCTTTAAAATCAGCACAACTGTTTTCAGCTGTGCTAACATAATTGCAAAAGGGTTTTCTAATGATCAATTAGCCTTTTAAAATGATAAACTTGGATTAGCAAACAACGTGCCATTGGAACACAGGACTGATGGTTGCTGATAATGGGCCTCTGTACACCTATGTAGATATTCCATTAAAAATCAGCCATTTCCAGCTACAATAGCCATTTACAACATTAACAATGTCTACACTGTATTTCTGATCAATTTGATGTTATTTTAAAATGGACAAAAAAATTGCTTTTCTTTAGAAAACAAGGACATTTCTAAGTGACCCCAAATTTTTGAACGATAATGTATGTACAAAAATTTGCTAAAATGTGTAAAAACCTGTTTTTGCTTCATCATTATGAGGTATTGTGTATAGATCAGTGGAGGCTCCTCAGAGGAGGAAAGGGTGGACCATCCTCCTCAGTGAATTTCATACAAATTAACATTTTAAAACATTAAAAAATAATCATTTTTAGATAAAACTACACTAAATATAATCACGTCAACAAATAATTTATTAAAACACTATTTTGCAAAGAAGGTCTACAATAGCCTCAAAGCACTCTGTAGGGTAGTACCATGGTGTAGCTGGAGGACAGCTAGCTTCCATCCTCCTCTGGGTACAATGACTTCAATACAAAACCTTGGAGGCTCATGGTTCTCACCCCCTTCCATAGACTTACACAGTAATTATGACAACTTCCGGAGGACGTCCTCCAGCCTATCAGAGCTCTTGCAGCATGAACTGACATGTTGTCCACCCAATCAAAGGATCAGATAAAGAATTTAGTACTGAAAGCATAAGCTACAGCTAGCTACTACTGCAGTGTATAGAATGTGGTGAGTAGTTGACTCAAAGAGACCGAAAGACAATAGTTGAACAGTTTTGAACAAATTCATTTCTTCAAAAATGAAGGAGAAGCAAGAGAGGACTCTCAGTTTCACTTACTTAGTTATTAAATGCAGCTAGCTAGTTTAGCCTACTGAAACACTCTGCTCAAACAGAGGGATGCTATGTTAGCTAGCTGGCTATGACTTTCCAACACAACACTGGATTTCTTCCAAGTCAAGGTAAGCTTTTGGTATTACTAATTTAATGCCACCGGGGCCCGCCGGTGTAACTGCTTACTGACTGTACAGTGTAATGTTACTGCATGATTTTAGCAGGTTTACTAACGTGTTAGTTATATTACCTATGCTGACTATGACGTTACTTTAGCTAATATGGTGACAACGATGTAGGCTGTGTGTAGCGGTTTGGCTTGGAAATGTTTTTCACCTGGTCACATACAGTGTTGTGCATTGAAGTCCACAAGCGAAGGGAAGAGGTGAGAGGAGGAGAGCGCATAGATATGAGAAGGAATACCATGTGGCTGCTATGAAAGTGAACTGTGTTTACGCGTGATCAGGGGTGTATTCATTCTGCCGATTATTTTGAAAAACGTTTCTTAAAACGGAAGCAAACAGAACAATAAGGGGATAATGGGATCCTCTTCTTTTTAATAGAGGCCATGGCTCTGTTTTCTCACGCATAGCCTATACAAATGTTGTGCAACATGAGCTCATGGGCTCTCATGAAGTGTTTGATTAGATTTTCAATTACATTTCCATTGATGTCAGAGTGATTAGAGCGACAATCGAGTGCTGAGTACCAGGCAGTTAGCAAGTTTAGTAGGCTACTAATGACCAGCAGCAGCATCAGAGCATGGAGAAGCCTAATTATCGTGACTAAACGGTGACATGGAATTTGACCGCCGTCATGACTCGTGACCGCTGGTGTGGCAGTAATACGGTCACCGTAACAGCCCTAGTTCTGCAAAGCATTCAAAATGGAACAAGTACTTTTGGGTGTCAGGGAAAATGTATGGAATAAATTTACATTATTTTCTTTAGGAATGTAGTAACATAAAAGTAAACATTTTCAAAAATACAAATAGTATAGTACAGATCCCCCCCAAAAACAACTTAAGTAATACTTCAAAGTATTACTGAAGTACTTTACACCACTGAGCATATATCACTCGTTGGCCAATCCCTCTGTGCTGGCACAGATCCAATACTCACAGGGATCCTCACAGGATCCCTCACCCTTGACCCATCCTCCTCTACCTCAGCATACGACACCTTCTGCACTACTCTGACACTGGCCACCTCCACTTGCCTTTCTCGCACCGGACACTTCCGATCCCCAGCAACATGAGCACCCCTACAGTTGACACACACAACTTTATCTTCCGAAAGTACACATTCCTCTGTCCCATGCCCTCCAGCACACTTCCCACATCTTGGAATCTCCCTCCTACACACTGCAGCTACATGACCATAAATGTTGTACCTGAAACAATGCAGTGGATTCTGCACAAAAGCTCTAACAGGATAACTGATATAAAGTGCATTCGTAAAGTATTCAGACCCCGTCCCTTTTCCACATTTTGTTACGTTACAAACTTATTCTAAAATGGATTAAATAAATGTTTTTTCTCATCAATTTACACACAATAGCCCAAAATGACAAAGTGAAAACAGGTTTTTAGAAATTTTTGCAAATGGAAGAAGTTTGGAACCACCAAGACTCTTCCTAGAAGTGGCCACCCAGCAAAACTGAGCAAGCGGGGGAGAAGGGCCTTGTTCAGGGAGGTGACCAAGAACCCTGCAGGTCACTGACAGAGCTCTAGAGTTCCTCTGTGGAGATGGCAGAACCTTCCAGAAGGACATCCATCTCTGCAGCACTCCACCAATCAGGCCTTTATGGTAGTGTGGCCAGATGGAAACCCCTCCTCATTAAAAAAGCACGACAGCACACTTGGAGTTTGCCAAAAGGCACCTAAAGTACTCTCAGACCATGAGCAACTAGATTCTCTGGTCTGATGAAACCAAGATTGAACACTTTGGCCTGAATGCCAAGCGTCACGTCTGGAGGAAACATGGCACCATCCCTACGGTGTAGCATGGTGGCAGCATCATGCTGTGGGGATGTTTTTTAGCGGCAGGGACTGGGAGACTTGTCAGGATCGAGGGAAAGATGAACAGAGCAAAGTACAGAGAGATACTTGATGAAAACCTGCTCCAGAGCGCTCAGGACCTCAGACTGGGGAGAAAGGTTCACCTTCCAACAACACAACGACCCTAAGCACACAGCCAAGACAACACAGGAGTGGCTTCGGGGAAGAGTCTCTGAATGTCCTTGAGTGGCCCAGCCAGAGCCCGTTCTTGAACCTGATCGAACATCTCTGGAGAGACCTGAAAATAGCTGTGCAGCGACGCTTCCCTTCCAACCTGACAGAGCTTGAGAGGATCTGCAGAGAAGAATGGGAGAAACTCCCAAAATACAGGTGTGCCAAGTTTGTACATTTGCAAAAATGTCAAAAAACCTGGTTTTTGTGGGGTATTGTGTGTAGATTGATGAGGGGAAAAAACTATTCAATCAATTTTAGAATAAGGCTGTAACATAACAAAATGTGGAAAAAGGCAAGGGGTCGGAATACTTTCCGAATGCACTGTTTGCTAACATCACCTTTTCCGGTAAAAACTCAGACTCAAAACTCAAAAAGGACTGACAGTGACTCCTCTGTTTCACCACTCACCATTGGGTCTGTGTCACACCAAACAGCAGGAGCCACAAACACCAGGAATCCTCAACCTGTACACACACCTGCACACTTAACGCTACTCCAGAAATCACTCCTTTCAATGGTGCCCTATTCCTAATCACAAAGCAAGAAACAGATCTTGACCCATGTTGCGTGACACGGAGCACTCACTCCCTCTGGTCCAAAGAAACACAAACAAATATCACAAGTCCACTACAGGTTATTTTCACTGATTCAACTGCACCCAACTCCTTTCCCAACCACCCTGACCCACAAATGGATCCGCCAAAAGGCAAGAATCCACTTTCTCCAAAAATGTCTCTCCTCCTGGACCATATTCTTCATCATGTCCATCAATGCCAGGCTCAGGCTCCCAAGCTCTTTACCACACCTTCCACCTAACTTAACTCGCCCTCATTCACTTCCATTTCACCTCCAGAACTAGGTCTGGCACTCTGTTTGCACTTGACACCAATCTTCTTCGACGCCCCATTTCTATTTTACTACTTTCTGAGATTTGATTGATGGTTGCGCAATAGGCAGCGGATTGGTCAGAAGTAAAAGGTACTGGCCCCACAGCCGCTCAAATTAAACATTTTACTTCTGAATCTCTTTCTACAAACGTTCAAAAAGAGCACGCAGATTAAAATTTACAAGTGTATTTTTGATTCACAGCAGAATATTCATACTCGCAAATGGACTTGTAATAATTCTGAAAAGAAATTATGCTTGCAAATCTTATTCAATGTATTCAAATGTCAAGTTACACATTATACAAGCTTGCTAAATATAATTACACATTTGCAAATCGTACTTGCAGCCACAAATATCAACGTGCGACAACGAAATTCAAAATACAAACTCACAGGGTTCATTATTATCCCATAGACAATAGGCTTAGGTACTTTATCTCAAATCAAATTAAATGTTTCTTTGTCCTGTGTTTTGATGAAAAGTTAAAGTTGAGCATTCACTGGCTTTTCCTCTCTCATGTAATGTCTCTCACACAGAGGGCCACTCCACGTCGGAGGCACAAGCTGTGAAAAGAGACGACTACATTCTTCCCTACCCGCTCACCAAATGAGTAATTGTCCCCTTCCTCTATGTCCAGCGCCTTGAGGTGACCCTCCACATGCTCGCAGAACTCCTGCATCTGATCGAATGACTCTTGGCAGGACCCCCACTCACACGCCAACTCCAGCGGTGTGTCCTCTTTTCTTGCCCGTTTGTTTCCAGGAGGCATCTCTCACTATGCGTTCACATGCATGGTCGTGTGTAATGGGGAAAAGCTAACGTCGTTATATGTAAACGAAAATTGTCTTGCTAACTAGCTAAACTGGACAGCTGCCATTAGCTAACGGCAGTAACGTTAATATCCACGTCTGACAACAACGTTCTGATATCGTTACAACGAATGTGATCATGTTGAAAAGTCCAAAACACAATTGCTCAGTTATTTAGAGTAAGAATAAACAAATACACAAGTTCGCTACCTTAATGTTGTTAGCCAAACGTTTCCTGATGACTTTATGAGCTCCAATCAGAAATCACTTCATAGTCAATGTCCAATGGGCTTTCACTTAAAGTCCGTCTTGGCCAATCACGTAAGGCGGTTCCATGGGCGAGATGGGTACGACTGGAATATTGTCCTCAGAAAACAGGAACGATTAGAAACCGTTCCATTTAGAAATATTAGTAGTGCCTGTATTCGGCATTAGACTCAAAATAATGAAATAACAATTTCATAAAGGAAATTATTTGTTCTGAGCACTTATTTATTTCCTGGTTTGAGCATTCCATTACGAGTGTAAAACACATCATAAATTATTGTACACTTGTATTTACATTCGTACAACCAGCAGAATTGCCCAGTGTCAAATGAGCCTAACATTAGGAAGGCAAAACATACAAATACATTATGGATTGAGAAAAAACAGTTCACACATTCCATGTCCTTCTATAGTAAGTTCATAAAAATACACCTCCTAACCGATAATAAGAAAAGTCTTGGTATCTTCATCTAGCTCTTGCAGTGGTGTAAAGTACTTAATCGTTTTTTGGGGCTGTGACTACTTCACTCACACACATGTACTTTACTTATTTTCCTGACAACCCAGTCTTGTTACAGAAGCTAGCAGGACAGGAAAATTCTGAAATTCACACACTTATCAAATCACAATTTTATTTTGCCACATGCTGCCAAATACAACAGTCTTGTAGACATTACAGTGAAATGCTTACTTACAAGCCCATAACCAACAATGCAGTTTAATAAAAAAGAAAAGCAAATAATTAAAGAGCAGCAGTAAAATAAAATAACAGTAGGGAGAACACGAGGTCATCCCTACTGCCTACGGTCTGGCAGACTCACTAAACACAAATGCATCTTTTGTAAATAAATAGAGTGCTGGAGTGTGCCCCTGGCTTTCCTTAATATAAGAAATTTGAAATGATTTATACTTTTACTTTTGATACTAAAGTATATTTTAGCAATTACATTTACTTTTGATACTTAAGTATATTTAAAACCAAATACTTGTAGACTTTTACTCATGTAGTATTTTACTGGGTGACTTTCTTTTTACTTGAGTAACTGTCTATTAAGGTAGTATGACAATTGGGTACTTTTTCCACCACTGAGCTCTTGTAATCACACCGCTATTACTCTGAGTTCTCTCCACCCTCAACTGCTCTAGAATTGAAGTAAGGCTTTAAACCCCTCAGAGAATAACTTCAATGTGTTACGAATCTGCACAAGGTTAGGAGTTAGCAAAAAAAGGGTTAAGGTTGGGGTTAGGTGAAGCGTTAGATAAAAGGGTTAAGGTTAGGGGAAGGGTTAGCTAACATGCTAAGTAGGTGAAAAGTAGCTAAAAAGTAGTAAGCATTTGAAAAGTTGCTAATTAGCTAAAATGCTAAAGTTGTGTGTGATGAGATTTGTACACGCCCACCCATCCACCCCAACCAACCACCCTGCAGTAAGCATATATCGTATGTAACCATACCAAACGTAACATATCATACTAAATGGAGTGTCTCGGATTTACATACAGAATAATACAAAATGCTCTGAGACCAAGTTGAGAATCTGGATTCTATGAATTAATTGCGATGCTTTAAAGGGGCATGATTTCTCACCGTCCCTTTTTCTTTGAAGAACTGAAGTCATCCTCAGCTGTCAGACTTGTATACAGACCCATTTTAAAGCAAAAAGGGAGAGGTGAAGCAATAATCAAGGAATCTGATTGAGAGCGAGCCGGTTCTACATGTTTGCTGACCTGTGACCCACTGACACCTCGCCCAGTTAGAGAGGAGTAAGGGACATTTAATGGGGGGTAGGGGGGGTCCAAAATAGGGGAGGGTTGTGTAACTTTTTTTTTTGCTTTGGAGAGGGTTGTGTGGTTTTTTATTGGGCACAGGGGAGGGTAGTGCGTTTTTTCCCTTGTTTACATTTGCCCTTTTGCAGGTTTTACTATTAGGTGTTGGGCCATAGCAAGCTATCTGCTTTAGCTTTCGAGATTGATTTATCTCTGTCGAGGGAGGAGCTGGTTTTTACATATGGTGTATATTTATTTCTTCTGAACACATTTTAGTTTGTTGGAAATGTCAATTCATGATATTTTTTCCAAAATACTTACTTATGTTCACTAGTTTGACAGGCAAACTCCGCCAAGTACTAAACTGTAAACCAATCAAAATGTGTACACTATCCATGGTACTATCTCTGTTGATCACATCTGCCAATCACATTATCCGTATCTAAGGTAGTAGACACAGCTGGTGACATCTCGAGAGAGATCTCCGTCCGACAAACCTGCTATCAGGTAAAGGCTTTTTAAATGTATTTGCAATCTAACTATTTAGGTATAGAAACGTGATACCATCAATGCAAACGGTAAAATTACTCCCTACTTAGAACACAGTAACCTTAGTAATGTAGCTAACTTACTAGTTACAACAAGTATATATGTTGTTAGTAGCTAGCAGGAGCAGATAGCTTTATCACTAGCTAGCATGTCATTCCAGGACAAGGAGTGTTTTAGCTTTCAGTTTGTTCCAAGTAATAATTTCAGACTAAAAAAATCTATAGGACAAGTAGTGTAAATCTAATACAGTCATCAAGGCAGAACCCACTAATTTCATTCATACTAACAAATAAGAAATGCCACATTATCCATGTCAATAGTTGGAGTAGGATGATTCCAGAGCACCCTGCTTCACACCGTCAGGATGTTCATTTGTGACTAGGCGTTTGTCGCACGTAGGGCTGTTGCAGTGACAGTATTACCGCCACAACGGTGGTCACGAGTCATGAAGGCAGTCAAATTCCATGTCACCGTTTAGTCACAGTAATTACAGTGCATTCGGAAAGTATTCAGACCCCTTTACTTTTTCCCCATTTTGTTACGTTACAGCCTTATTCTAAAATTGATTAAATAGTTTTTTTCCCCTCATCAATCTACACAAAAATCTCAATAATGACAAAGCAAAAACTGTTTTTATTAAAATGTTGCAAATGTATAAAAACATATTTTTAAAAAAAACACACATTTACATAAGTATTGAGACCCTTTACTCAGTACTTTGTTGAAGCACCTTTGGCAGCGATTACAGCCTTGAGTCTTCTTGGGTATTACGCTACAAGCTTGGCACACCTGTATTTGGGGAGTTTCTCTCATTCTTCTCTGCATATCCTCTAAAGCTTTGTCAGGTTGGATGGGGAGCGTCGCAGAACAGCTATTTTCAGGTCTCTCCAGAGATGTTCGACAGGGTTCAAGTCCGGGCTCTGGCTGGGCCACTTAAGGACATTCAGAGATTTGTCCCGAAGCCACTCCTGCGTTGTCTTAGCTGTGTGCTTAGGGTCATTGTCCTGTTGGAAGGTGAACCTTCGCCCCAGTCTTACGTCCTGAGTGCTCTGGAGCAGGTTTTCATCAAGGATCTCTGTAAAGTGTTCAGTCTTTGTTTCATCAGACCAGAGAATCTTATTTCTCATGGTCTGAGAGTCCTTTAGGTGTCTTTTGGCAAACTCCAAGCGGGCTGTCATGTGCCTGTTACTGAGGAGTGGCTTCTGTCTGGCCACTCTACCATAAAGGCTTGATTGGTGGAGTGCTGCAGAGATGGTTGTCCTTCTGGAAGATTCTCCCATCTCCACAGAGGAACTCTGGAGCTCAGGTTCTTGGTCACCTCCCTGACCAAGGCCCTTCTCCCCCGATTGCTGAGTTTGGCCGGTGGCCATCTCTAGGAAGAGTCTTGGTGGTTCCAAACTTCTTCCATTCTATGTTCTTGGGGACCTTCAATGCTGCAGACATTTTTTGGTACTGTCACGCCCTGACCTATAGAACTCTAGTTTGTTGAGTCAGGGTGTGGAAATCTATGCTAGAAATTCTATGTTTAGGTTCTAGTTTTCTGTTTCTATGTCTGGCCGGGTATGATTCCCAATCAGAGGCAGCTGTCGCTCGTTGTCTCTGATTGGGGATCATACTTAGGTAGCCCATTGCCTACTGTGTATTGTGGGATCTTGTTCCTGTTAGGCTGGTATGTGTATAACCCTTTGGTTGTTTTCGTGTATGTTTATTTGAGTTAATAAACATGTATGCTTTTCACGCTGCACCTTGGTCCGACCCGTCTCTCAACGTTCGTGACAGGTACCCTTCCCCAGATCTGTGCCTCAACACAATCCTGTCTCGGAGCTCTATGGACAATTCCTTTGACCTCAGGGCTCAGTTTCTGCTCTGACGTGCACTGTCAACTGTGGGAACTTATATAGACAGGTGTGTGCCTTTCCAAATCATGTCCAATCAATTGAATTTACCACAGGTGGACTCCAATCAAGTTGTAGAAACATATCAAGGATGATCAATGGAAACAGGATGCACCTGAGCTCAATTTCGAGTCTCATAGCAAAGGGTCTGAATACGTATGTAAATTAGGTATTTCTGTATTATATTTTCAATACATTTGCAAAGAAATCTAAAAACCTCTTCACTTTGTCATTATGGGGTATTGTGTGTAGATTGATGAGGACATTTTTTTATTTAATCAATTTTAGAATAAGCCTGTAACATAACAAAATGTGGAAAAAGCCAAGGGGACTGAATACTTTCCGAATGCACTGTAGGCTTCTCCAAGCTCTGATGCTGCTGATGGTCATTGGTAGCCTACCAAACTTGCTAGCTGCCTGGTACTCAGCACTCTATTGTCCCTCTAATCACTCTGACATCAATGCAAATGTGATCGAAAATCTAATCAAGCACTTCATGAGAGCCCATGAGCTCATGTTGCGCAACATTTCTATAGGCTATGTAGTTGCGCAAGAAAGAGTGATGACCTCTATTAAAAAGAGGAGGATCACATCAGCTTTATATAGGCTAGGCCTACTATAGTTGTTTCTCAACTTTCCTAATATTAAACACATTGCTTCTCTTTACAACAGGAGTGTAGCCTACCTGGCTGGCATGAAAATGAAACACGGGAAAAGCATCCTCCGTTCACAATTTAAGTGCATAGATTACATGTATTTCTTCCCCCTGTTTCGAG